TTTTTTTTTTTTTTTGTTATGATGTAATTTGGCCTTAGTACCAAACCATACTTAGTGGATAGATATAGGTACAACTACTCACATAAATATGCCAATGCAGGGTTGTCTAAGAAGTCGAGTGCCAATGAATGCTAAAAGATTATCTATGTGTGGAATGGATATAAAGCTCCTATTAAAGCTATAACTTATATATATTTTACTTAGAATCTGATTGTACTTTGAATTTATGTGAAACTTTTTATATACATTCATTTAGATTAAATCTTATTTCTATTTCTTTTTTTGGATAAATCTGATTACTCTTGTTCATTTTGAAATAGAAAATTTAGTCTCTTTTAGTATTAAAAAATTATTGATATATGTTCTTTAATTGATAATTTATATAAATTAGATATATATGTCTCATAGATAAATGAAACCTTACATACAAATAATTTTGATATAAAACAAAAAATTAACATATTAGAATTTTCTTTTGTTATGACATAGGCATTTAAGATATATTTCTAAATAAAGAATTAAAAGGCTTGTGTCAAATTGAATTTTTATTTCTTAATTATATTGATTTTGAAAATTATATTAAATGTATTAAAGAAAAACAAACAAATATTAAATAATTTGTGCCAAAAGGAGTTTAAATATGTTGGAATTAATACATAATGATATTTGTGGCTCATTTCCTACATCTTCAAAAATGATAAATAATATTTTGTTACTTTCATAAACGATTATTCTTGTTATATGTACTTATACTTAATATACCTTTGATGTATTTAAGATCTTTAACATTGAAGTTGAAAATTACTTGGTAAGAAGATTAAAGCTGTCAAATTTGATCATAATGGTGAATATTATGATATATATGATGGATTAGGTGAACAATGTTTAGGCACTTTTGCAATATATTTAACAGAGTGTGACATCGTTTCTCAATACATTATGCTAGAGACTCCAAGTCAAAATAGTGTAACTAAGAGACGAAATAGAACCTTAAAAGATATAATTAAGAGTATAATTAATCATTTTTACTTACCAGAATCACTTTGCAGAGAAGGCTTAAAGACTTCAATTTATATTCTTAATAGAGTTCCAAGCAAAGTAGTTGTTAAAATCATATATGAGTTTTGGACTATAAAGAATCTTATAATTAGACGTTTTCATGTCCAGGAATATCCAATTGAGGCTAGATCATATAAACCCAGTGAAAGAAAGTTAGACTCAAGAACTATTAGCTACTTTTTTATTAGATGATATGAAATGTCAAAAAGCTTTAAGTTTTATGATTCCTCAAATAAATCTTTTTTCTTAAATGAGTAATGTTAAGTTTATTGATGATGTTGAATATAGTGGATAATAAACTCAAAAATTTTGATTTTGAGAATGAATATATTACTATTCCTATTGATACAACTAAAAATGATTAGGTAATTATGCATAATGTTATTCAGAGTATAACTCCAGATAATCAAAATACTCTTAAGTTATATCCTACTCATATAGAAGGACAACAACTTTAAATTTAAGTGTCATCACAATGATCCACAAGGGAAAGGAGAATAGCAATTTCAAATGATTCTATAATGTATGTCCAAAAATATGAGTTTGATATGGATTGAAAGATGACCCAATCTCATTCAGTCAAGTCAAATAATGTATAAATTCCCAAAAGTGGATTGAGGCCATATAAGATGAGATAAAATTAATGAAAGACAATGATGTTTAGGATTTTCTGAATTGTCTTAAGGAGTAAAACTGATTGGTTGTAAATGAATTTTTAAAACTAAATGATATTCAAAAGGCAATATTGAAAGATATAAGACATGCCTTATCACTAAAGGCTTCACTCAAAAAAGGCATTGATTATAAAGAGACTTTTTCTCTAGTTTCATCAAAAGACTCTTTTAGAATTATTATAACACTTATAACTAGTTATGATTTAGAGCTACAATAGAAGGATGTAAAAGATGCATTTATCAATATTGATATTGAAGAAACAATATATATGATACAACTAAAAAATTTTCATTCTTCTGATTAAAAATATCTGGTGTGTAAATTAAAGAAATTCATCTATGATTTAAATCAAGCATCTAGTCAATGTTATAAAAAGTTTGATCAAGTGATTACTTCATTTGGTTTAAAAAAATACTTTTGATCAATGCATTTATCATAATATTAGTGGAAGTAAGTTTATTCTTCTAGTATTATATGTCGATGATATTCTACTGGGAAGTAATGATATATGCTTCTTGTATGAGATTAAGATATTTCTTTTAAATAAATGTGAAATAAAAGATCTTGAAAATGCATCTTTGTGTTAGGTATACAAATTCATTAGGATTGCTCCTACTGTATATTTGGTTTATCATAAATAATATACATCAATAAAGTGCTTCATAGATTTGGCATTAAAGATTGTGCACTAGGAGATATATACATAATAAAAGAGGATAAATTTAGTATATTTTAATACCTAAAAAATAAAGTTGAAAAGAAAGAGATGGATAAGATCTCTTATGCATCGGTAATAGGGAGTCTTATGTTTGTTCAATTTTGTATGCATCTGAATATTACATACATTGTTGGAATACTTGACAGATATTTAAGTAATCCAAGAATGTATCATTAGAAAGCAGTAAAGTGGGTTGTGAGGTATCTAAAAAGGATAAGAAATTTCATGCTCACATATCTAAGATTTGATCATTTATAAATCATGGGATATTCCGACTATGATTTTGGTGATTGCCTCGATAGTAGGAGATCTACTTCAAGCTATATTTTCATGTTAGTTGGAGGAGCTATATTATGGAAAAATGTCAAGCAGACACTTATGCTTTATTCTACAATAGAAGTAAAGTTTTTAGCTTATGATAAGGCATTAAATAAAAAATATGGTTATAAAATTGTATCACAATGCTACATATTATCGATGGCATTAAGAGACCATTAAAGATATATTGTGATAATAACGATCGAAGATGAGTTATACTTCAAGAACAACATGAGTTCATCAAAATCAAAGCACTTTGATATTAAGTTTCTTATAATAAAAGAAAGGATTCAGAGTTCTCAAATTTTTATTGAATATATTAGTACAATTTTATGATTATAAGTCTACTTACAAAAGAATTATCATCTAAAGTATTTCATAAGCATATGATTCGTATAAGTGTAATTTATTTTTATGATGTGCTAGCATAGTGAGAATTTATTTATATTATTTAATTATTATAAAATTATTTTCTAATCAGATTAAAGTGCTATTATTTTGGTTATTC